CCTCTTTGAGCAGTGTCCATTGAATGAGGTATCCGAGATCACTTTTACTGAGGAGATCGTTGTCCCGAAATACCCATGCATTATACATTTAAAGTGGGCTCCCAGACAATACCTAACCATTTGGGCGCGGCCGCGGCGAACGCGGCCGAGTTTATAGGTGCCCGCGAACTTGGCCTAGCACAGTTCGCGGGCACCTCGAGTGCGTTCTCAACGGTTCGCGCAGTGCGGTTATCGGCCGGTCGCGCCAAAATGGTTAGGTATTGTCTGGGAGCATGTAGAAAGTGATGTAGAGTGGCTTGCCCAGTTCTTCGGCCTACGCTAGCTGATGGTGCTTTTGTTGGAGTAAGCAAGAGGACAAGAACCACTGAACCACACAACCACGCCTCCACTAACTGAACCTGGCGCCGCTCTTCCGACCTGACGTTGCTAGGTCAGCGTTCACGAGACATTTAACAAGACCCCAAGTAGTGGGTTATCATGTATTCATAAATGTAGCAAGCTTTGCACGGACTGTCAGGATCAATGAAAAATCCCGACAAGCCTGGCTGGTCAGGGTGTGGTTCACAAAGATAGAAAGCGTAATTTTTTCGCGCTCCGCAGCGCGAAACATTTTTCGTTGCGGGAACCTCAGGTCCACCTCTGATCATCAGTGGACCCGAGGTTCCTACAGCGAAAAATGTTTCGCGCTGCGAAACGCGAAAAAGTCGCTTTCTGTCCTAGTGAACCACACCCGCTTTGTCGCCTAGGCTTTATGGCGCGCTGGGAAGAGGAATGCCTGTTTTTCTATAGCACGACTCCTGAAAATTTCCTCCAATCTGAGTGTGGGGAATAGCCTCTTCCCATGACTGAGGACAGTGCAGGAACTTTAACACATTGTGATTTGCGGAACGCCCGTTGTACGAGCATCGCCGTATCCTTTTTTTATGATTTTTTTTTAAATAAAAGTCATAATCTGTAACTTATTTCTCCTGATGACGTATTTTGGTTTTCCGAGCTCTGAAGGAATGTGTGGGCTACTAAATCTGATAAAACCATCATTCGTGTGAACACACATGGTGACGCGCGCCGTACGGAATGTGTTGAACTTCTTTGAGCCGCGTCCGTGTGCTCTCCTCAATGGAACTCATCCTCAAAGTGTGAATGGCTATAAGTTCCTGCTCCAAATCATGGGCTGAAGCTCCTATGTGATAGAGCTACGTCAGCTGCTCACCTTCTCCTGTGCGCCCTTATTTCGAAGGATTACGCTGCACCATTGGAAAATGGTAGGTCCTCAGACGAAATACTCTAAGCGGCCTTTTCCTGCTTAAGGGCGCACGCATAGTCGGTCGGACGACAGCAACGATCGCAACTGTCTGACTGTCTAACTGCATCTAATCGTCGAATACTCAGGCAAGTCCGACGATCGATACGCATCCAATGCTGTGCGACAGTTACGATCGTTGCTGTCGTCCGACCGACTATGCGTGCGCCCATCCTAACGGGTTATGAATCGCTTTTAAGCGCCGTTAACTTTGATGCTCCGCCTGCGGCTCTACTCGCCTTAAAACGCGATTATGGCTACTGCTGATGCTCACAACTCAAATTTTTTACACACTGGCCGATGTGAACTCTGCGATTGGAGCGATCGGTCAAATGTCAATCGCGCGACCATCGCCGATTCGCGCGGACGATCGCGCGATTGACATGAGTCCCATCATGACCAATCGCGCGAATTGGGCGCGATCACTCCCGTTGTGGCAGGCAACGTATCGATCGAGGGGGGCGCGCCAGCTATTGATCGCTCCCTGCCACAACGGGAGTGATCGCGCCCATCGCGCGATTGGAGCGATTGGTCATGATGGGACTCATGTCAATCGCGCGAATCGCGCGATTGACATTTGACCGAATCGCTCCAATCGCAGAGTCTGACATCGGCCATTGTATTTCATTCATCCGCCTCGGAGTCCACCGTCACCGCTAACGCTTAGTCTTGAAACTCTCCCCTTTCTTATTGGGATTTGGAGCCGAGCCAAGCGCCATCTTACAATCGTCTCTGCTTTCCCTTGTGTCTCGCGGTAGGACCATAGAAAAAAAGTAGTTAGTAAAGAAAGAAACCCGTAAATAGGGTTCGATTTCGGCCGGAGTAGAACGGCAGCCCCAAATTTGGATGGTTCGTTCCGCGGCTGCGTTTTGTATCCATCCGCGGTCGTAGTGCCGCTGTTTGGGGGGTGTGGTTCTATCAGGCAGAGAGCGACTTTACGCATTCCGCAGCGCGGAACACAGGTCCTCTCACGGTCAGTGGCGCACCTAAGGTTCCGCAGCGAAAAATATTCCGCGCTGCTCGCTCATCGATGCAGTGTCTTGGCGATTTTCTAATCGGTAGTTATACGTCCCCCTCATGGTCAGCATAATCGCTGAGACGTGAGCTATGAACGCTGCTTTACAACAGATGGGTAGTCCCATACTTCAGTCGTCTGCGCTCTGGCTTTCCTCGACAGAAAACACAGAGTTGAAGCTCACGCACTAGCAATGTGACCGCTCCTATCGTTCCGAGCGTGCCGCCGAATATGCTGTGTTGTCCGTGACCTGCGTAGATGAGCGGCGCGTGTGCATTGTTTTTGATTTCGTCGTTTCTAGTTCATGTGCTTCTATTATATAGTTTGCGTTACGTTTGACCTACACTGGACACGTCATACAATAACATCATGGCTCGGCTGGAGTGTGTGGTTCGTAGGGCAGAGAGCGATTTTTGGGCGTTTCGTAGCGCGAAACAGTTTCGCTTTACGGGAGCTTCAGGTCCACTAAAGATCAGTTGAGGATTTGAGGTTTCCTCAGCGAAAAACGTCTAGCGCTGCGAAATAAGGAAGTCGTTTTCTGTCCTAGCGTACCACACCCACTAGGTGTATGCAATTGCTGTTCGCGTGATATTTTTAAAAAAATCTACGTACAAAGAACCAAAAAGAGGTTTTTTTTTGTTACTCTTTTTGAATTCTTTGCGTAGGTAGAACAAGCGCCACATTTGAGGGGCTATTGTGTTTTGGTCCTTACCGGTCAATCGCTGATGCAACGTCGTATAGCTCAAAGGCCGCGTTTCATAGTTTGCGACTCCTTTGGTGAAAAGATATGTCTTGAAAGGGAAATTAGGATAGTAGTTGATCAGGATTGTAGGCGAGCAATTTAGTTCGGTGGAAAGGATCAGATTAGTACAATCTGAAATCCTGGAGAGTAGTGGATTACGAGATTAGAATAGAAGGATAGGCAGTAGAGTAGGAGATTAAGACAGTGGCAAAAGTGGTTGGATACGTATTGATCGATTCGCCTAAAGACGTCTGACCTACACACCTAATATTCAATCCCCACTGAATCCCCAAGTTGCGGACATAGTCGCGGCATAGGAACCGCCAGCCTTACTTTTAGCGATTGTTCACAACGAATCGCTTACAATATTTCAAGAGAACGCGCGTTCGAAAATTGAATTTAGGACTGTTAGAAGTGATCATCCGCTGCAATGTTGTGTCCAGATCGATCCTCATTTGATCATCCAGCCAGTCCTACATTTACGTAAAATTTCAGCTTGTGATGGTCCCTCCGTTAAGACCAGAGAAAAAAGGGCAGGTTTGACGCATCTTATCCTCCTGCTAAGTTTGCTGTAAACGCCAGTAGCCCTTATTTTATTGGAAAACACAAAATGTCTCGTAAGCGCATTGAAAAGCGCGAGAATCTCTTGTCGTCCTACGGTTTTGGCGGTGATGGGTTCAAGGCAGGAACACAGGCGGAGACAGTAAGTTCCGTTTTTAGACCAATCTTCCTCATTCTTCATCAGGTTTCGTGTGCAATGCGCTTCTTAAGGTTGTAATTTTCAGAGCAGTCGTGATGAAGGTGCTCCCAAATTCCCATTGGTAACCCGTTCTTCGTCTGTTGCTGCAGGATCATTAAACGCTAGTAATGGCCTAGCTTTCGACTTTAGCAATGATCCAAAGCTTCGGCGAGTCCGTGAAGTCATAGTATCTATTGTCGATTCCGTGAGTCATTTCTCATTGCACATTTTCTCCTTTTTTGAAACGTTGACGACATCGCGCGTTTCGGCTTTTTTGGACGCGTGGGACCGGCGCGAGTGCGACCATCTTACCTTAAATCCGCGAATTTCGAGCTGTAATAAGAAACTAGCGGGCGCAAAATTGCAATAGTGGACCTGAAGTTCAGGCTGCGAAACGCGAAAAAGTAATTTTCTGTTCTAGTGAACCCACATGCATATTTCCCTGAGATCAGAAAATTTCTGCCGAACTAAAAAAGGTTTGGCTATTCTGCGAGCTACGTGGTTTTGAGGCGCGCCACAGTTGCCACAACGTGATACGCGGCCTCAAATGGCGGCATGCACAGCTGCCACGCTGTCGTCAACGTGTTAATGATTGTATGTGACCCATGAATGTTTGTGTTTTCTTCCCACTGATACTTCTCTTGGTGACGGTCGACATCTGTACATAACGTGCGGTTTTTTTTTTAAGCGCATGCCCATCTTGTAAGGGCTTATTTAGGTATTTAGTTGCAAAGGGGGGAGTATTGCCTTTACCAGTGGCCGATGTCGGACTTTGCGATTGGAGCGATTGCAGGAGGCGACGGGATGCTCCACGTAGTGCGAGCGACAGGGAGATTTTACCGAGACGCGCAACGTCAGCGGGGTAAATCTCTCCGTCGCTCGCACTGGTGGAAGCGATCCGTCGCCCTGCAGTTTGGTGCCAAATCGCTTCCAACGCAGTTCTGATCAGCGCACATCGGCCAGGTGCAGTCGAAATTTGCTGCACGATAAGTAGATTGGCCTCAGTCTTGAATTTTTATGCTTTTGTCTATCGATGGGTAAGCTACTCATTGCGGGATCAGAACAACGCACATCTTTCACTTTTTAAGTCGCGCACCCTGAATAGCCGATATGCTTCGGCGACTTCAGTCGGGATACGCATTAGTTTAATCAAACTCACGTGCACAGTCATTGCACAAGTTTGCATCTTACTATCCGTCCCCAGCATCGAGACGTGGCACACATGGTGAACTTCTCGATGAAAAAGCAATATCACGTTTACTGCGTTGATTCGATGTCACGTCAATTTTGGTAATTTTTTTCACTATACTTGAGTGCGGGTACAAGTTATACATATCAAGTGGCGGTCATAAGTTTGATTTAAGGTCTGTTGTGTGCCAGCCCTGGGTCTGAAGTACGCCTAACGAGGCGGTAACTCAGTGAGTGAACATTATAGAGCCTTCGCTTTGGCAGACCATCCATAATTTTTTTTACACACATTCGTGTAACGTTCATGAAGCGTCAATACGTTTTGCCGCGCCAGTTCGTCTCACGCCGAGTCGAACCCAGTCACGGCGTTCTTACTGGAATCGCTTCTAAAGTTACGCACGTTAGATTAAACGTATCTACTTCACGAGCTACAAAACGGCTTGCAGAACACTCGTGAAGAGTGGGCCTCAGACTCGTCCGCTCCTCCCAGTTCGGTTCATCCCCGGGGTGCCCTTGCCTTTTCAGATAGTATATAGCAGTGTAATAGCGTTTACTTACTTTGGGCCATCCTCGAGAGCTTTTGTCGGTCTGATGAGTGTTCTTCCTGTTTTAACATCGTGAGCTAAAGTCATGCTGTTTAGGACAGGAAAAGGGACAATGACAAAGAGTTACACGATGCAATAGCGTCCACTTCTTGCAAAGGCATGCAGCTCGTTAACGGAGGGAAGCCAAAAAAGCCGAAATGGTATTTTTTGCTTGTCGATTCCATTAGCATTACTAATTGTTTTCTTTAGTTGGGAAAGACAAGGTCTTGCATCAATAGAAGATTTTAAAATGGCATCCGGTGGCGAGATTGTCAAGGAAATGAAGCAGGTTGTCATAGAGGAAAGTAATTCCAAGGTAATTAGTAGTTATAATTTGTAGTTATATAAGTGTACTTTCATATCCTGGCTGATGTGTATTTATGTTCCTAACTTTGAAAGTAAGCTTGATTTAAGAACGAGGTTTTCATTCGCAATTTAAGGGCGATGATGGTAATAGCAATGCTGCAGCGGCAGTCTTCAGAATGTGGAGAAGTATCGAAGCGATATCTTGGCAATAAGTTAGTGTTTTCGTTGTTTCAAGAGCTCAATATAAATTTCTAATATTACCGACAGTTTCGAGTCGGCTTCCAAGTCCTATGTCCAGTAAATTTCGGTATGAATTCTAATTGAGAAAACCAATCCTCTCAGATGCAAATGATATAGAGAAATGAGATTCAATTCTCTTTTACGCATTCCATGCAATCGTGTTTCAAATGTGCTTTTGAGCAGAGTCTCACAATTTTCGATTTTATCTTCTGATAGTTCTAGTTTGTCTTACGCTAATCCCATTGGTTTAGAAGGATTACACCTGCCTTCAATGCCCCGCCTATGGTCAAAAAAGCTTTACAAATGATGGATGTGAGCGGTGGAAGTGGAGGTGAATCACATTCCTTTTCACTTCCTTTTGTTCTAATCCACTGTTTTCTTCGAGTCGTTTTCTCTTGTGGTTTCTAGTGCTTGAATTCTTTTGTACTTATACATAGTAGCTGTTTTACATCTCACATCTTTTTAGCTGCATCTGGTCTTCGAGCAGAACCATCGCTTAAACATTTTGATGAGAATATAATTTCTCTCATAGAATCCGAGGTAAGCATAGAAATACATAACTCATCAACCTTTCGCTTGTTGCTCAACCGACAAAAATGCGAAATTGGCGCAGACTTGAAAAGAACTGAGAAAACGGCTGTGGTTGGCTTCTCGAAGAATGTGCTCACATAATGCAAGCCTGTGAAAGGGTACAGGTGAAAATTCATGGAACAAGCCAATGGCCCTTGTCTCAACCTTCCCATCTATTGTTTTCGATCGCTGTGAGAGGTACTCGAAAGATATACTCTCCCACAAACTTACGCACCGTTTACAGATCATGTCCGTTACGCATGAAACAGGTTGGTCTGATGTGGCTGGTTTGGAGGGAGCCAAAAAAGCGCTGCGAGAAAAAAAAAAAAAACACAAAACGAAATCGTGGTCTTACCATTCAACGAACCGTAAGTTGATTTGTCTATTATCCACTATCGTTCCCGCCAAAGAGAGTCTTTAGGAATTCCAAAGCATATAATTTTTTAGGGATATGTTCAAAGGGATTCGAGCTCCCCCAAAAGGAGTTTTGCTCTTTGGACCTCCGGGTACTGGGAAAACAATGATTGGTGAGTATTATAACGGAGATAAAATATTTTCCGACTGAAAGCTTTTTCCAACTGTAGGTAGATGTGTGGCTTCGCAATGTAAAGCTACTTTCTTCAACATTTCTGCAAGCTCACTAACATCGAAATGGGTCGGGGAAGGAGAGAAGCTAGTGCGCGCTTTATTCTCTGTGGCAAGGTTGAAGCTGCCAAGTGTTATATTTATCGATGAGGTAGGTAGCTACTGTTTATTGTTTTGTTATTAGCTTGAACTTCTTTATTTTTTACACGTTATACTACTCTGTAGGAAGTTTTCACTGGATTTAGCCCATTTACAATGATGTTTCACATTACCTTCTATAAACCACGCTGTTTAAGCGTTTTATTTCTCCTGCCATTCTTGACGTGAATGCTCTCAGACCATACGTTCAATTGTGCAACATAGCGCAACACGTTAATGTTGCCGGGCATATGGCGTCTAAAAAACGCTCCTGATTATTATCGAGTTGCCCGTTTTTTGGTAATTACTCTCATCCTTTCCTTCCTTTTCCGACTCTTCCTACTTTGCCGTCTTCCCCCCTGAACCCACAGGTGGATAGAAACGGGAAAGAAGGAGAGGAGATGGCAACACTCCCCAAAAAGCTACCAACCACCCACTTATCTTTGAAACCGGTTATTAATAAAACCATCAGTGGCCGTTTCAACTTTTTTTATACCGTTGTATCAGAATCACCCGCCAACATGCAATAATAAGGCATATCGATATTTTTTTTCGAGGACATGGTGAAATTTGTTGAAGATGAATGGGCTTGCGTATCTTTTTGTACTATGTTTTCAGGTTGACTCTCTTCTCTCTTCGCGCTCGGACACGGAGCACGAATCATCTCGTCGCATCAAGACCGAGTTTTTAGTACAGCTAGATGGAGTTGCTACCAATTCCGACGAAAGGCTGCTAGTCCTGGCGGCAACCAATCGGTTTGAATTTCTTATATGTAATATGTTCCCTAAATAATCACGAATATCTGGCAAATCTTCACAAACAGTTTTAGCAAGTAAATTCAGAAACTCTAAGAAGGTATTGTTGGGTTGCTCTCGATAATCTACCGTAGTAAAAATCTTTCTATAATGAGGAATGTGTGCTGAGGAAGTGCTTATGCTATAGTGCATCTACATAACGGGGGTTAACGCTGGTTTTCTTGTTGTTAAACTGTTGGGTTACGCTGGTGTCAAAGTCCGCGATCCTTGGCGCGGTTCGCGCGAATCACGCGACGGATCACAGAAATCACAAGTGCCCCGATCAATACTGCAAGGTGCTCTCCAATCCCGCCGCCATTTCTGCTTGATGGTGATGGCTGAATGACGACTGCTCATGATTCCTACTTGTTTCATATTCAGTGTTTCAAATTTTCAAATGAGGAACTTGTGATTTTTTGCGATTCGCGCGCGGATTCTGACATCAACCTTACGAGCTCGTTTTGAAGACTTGGCATGCTTTTACTTACATCCGCAAATCTATCTCTACTGAGTGTAGTATCGATAGTTTAGATACTTTTGTGATCTAGGTGAGAACGCTTTCACGATTGGTAACATCTGATCTCTGTAAACTAATCAGCTTCACGGTTAGGCAGGGTATGTATGATGGTGCTCTTTGCATCTTTCTTTGAAATATTGGGAGGAACAAGCCACTCTTGTAATACCAATAATATTTTAAAACATTTGCTGCACCGCTTCAATCTCATAAATGTAACGTTTTGTGTAAGTCACCTGTTTTCCTCTTTCAAGTCTGGGTTTTGTTGTAAATGGTTCACGGTTTGTTGCTATTGCCTGATTCCGCACACTGAGATTTCAGTACTGGTGCTTAATCTAGTAATCATATTTGGAAATTTGCGTAATTCGAGCGACGGCTAATCTGCTGCATTTTTACGCATGTTATTTTGGCCTAATATAAATTACTTCCATAATTTTCAGCCCACAAGAGCTCGATGAGGCTGCTCGACGACGTTTTGTGAAGCGTCTTTATATAGCTTTGCCTGAAGCTGAGGCAAGACTTACGATCGTCAAGAATTTACTTGCTGATATGAAACACTCGCTTGAAGAGGAAGATTTCAATCGAATAGCGGAGTTGACTGAAGGTTTGTTTTTTGCTTTCTATCTCCTACCTTCTATCGGCTCTAGGGCAATTTGCAGGATATTCTGGTGCCTGATGTGCGACAGCTATGTGCTGAGGCCTGCAATGGGTCCGATTCGAGATGTGGATAACTGCTCTTCCATGGATATTGAGACGGTGGAAACTGATGAGGTGGTTTTCATGAAGCCAGTTTGTTGTGCATCATATGTTATATGAAATTTATGTTTGATAGAATATTGTTTAGATACGACCTATCTCTGTAACGGATTTCGTCAGTGCTGCACAAGTTGTGAGGCCTACTGTTGTTAGTGAGGACTTAACGGCCTACAAGGTTTGGGACAGTAAATTTGGTTGTCTTGTTTGATTTCGAGGTTGTGTAGATAGGAGGAGTCGTCCCGTAATTAGATCAACTACGCTTCTTTTTGCTCGTGCCCTTTTTGTACTAGTATTTCTGAGAAATTTGCATGTTTTGTGAAGTGACTATTAATAGGTTCCTATTATTTCTGCGTCTGATCTCACACTTGATTGCTTTTTTTGTGTGAGTTTTCTATCCTCTCCTACTAAATTCTTTCTGTACATAATGATTGTTCCTGTAAGGGTATTTGAAGCTCAATATATTGATGAATTGCATGTGGAATAGTGTGAATAAAATATTTATCAGTTTTTCTTCAAGTGCTAGAAATTGCAGAGACATTGTTATACGTGAGCAGATTGTGTTTATAAAACAGTTTTCTTTTCTCTACTTTATTTGCAGGTCATGCGAATAGACTGGGTTCTGTAAAGTCACTCATGCACGTAAATCACTATGTTTCTGGGACAGCAACAGCAAACGGAGAACTCAGATATCCTACTGTACCAAAAATGGAACCATATCGTGCTATGAATCCATCATCCAATTCTGGTGTTAGTGCTCATAATTTTCCGTGGTTCACAAAAGACTTGCAAATGCGTTCGTTGATTCCGCCCGGAAAGTACGCTGATTCAGGCAGGCTTTCATTTTCAGTATTTTTTCGTTCTCTGTCTTGGAGATGAGCACGTTTTATAGTGTTCAGTGTTTCGCTGTCTTTCATATCGGGTTCTTTACACGCAAAATCTCCCCTTTTTGGTTGTCAAAAGTAGTAAGTTATATGGGTCGCTGTATAATCAGAAATTTCGTTCGATCTGAAATGTACGAGAAAAGTTTAGCGCATGAAAGCGTTTTGTAGGCTCTGGGATTTTGAAAAGGAAACCGTGAAACAGAGGAGTCAAGGATGAGGATGCTTAGGAGGGGGGGGGGTCTCGCAAATTCTTCAGCTATCGGTCATAACTTACAACTTTACCTTTATTCTGATATTTATAATTCCGCTCTCGGAGTTTATTTGATGCTTCATAAATTTGTCAAATGCGACTCAAGCTCGTTCACAAGAGATGGTAATCAGTTGTACTTTGTCACGCTTCATTTTCAACTATAGCAAACAAAATTACGTGCTATTCTTCACAGTTCAATACAATTACAATATAGTTTTTAAAAGTGCCTTTTTCTTTGCAGAAAATTGCACATTGTCTGTATATTGCATATTGCAGCTTTAAAAGCTCTGAAGGAATTGCGTGCGGAGGTTCTCAATTTTTTCAATGAATTCTACAGAAATGAGCGGACCAGTGAGGTTGCCACAGATTCGAAAGAAATGACTTTCAACAGGTCAGAATGGAAGAGGCTTTATTTCATTCAATTACGCAACTAAATGTTGTAAAACTTTCTGTTGAAAAGTCAGTAGAAGCGCGAAATTTCGGTGCTGAAATATGGTTCTTGAATATTGTGTCACTTCTGTTGTAGAAGCAGCAATGCTCTATTGTAG